TTTCATTTTGATTTTAATGTCAATGAGAGTTGTTTTGTTCGCGGGAGACTCATTAAAAAGACATCTATCTACTCTCTGTTAAATATTCCGATCGCTTGACATAAAAATATCCCTATCCTACGCGGCATTCAATATTATTCATGACCAATAAATTAAAAACAGCAATAATGACAGACTAAGATAAATCTTCAAATACCACGCACAATCAATCGGACGGCTTGCTTTATCGATGCGATTATACATTCCTGCAGACGTATTTGTACCCTTATCGTGGAAGCGATAGCGGTTATCTGGTGTGGGCTCGCTGTCGATAAGGGGGTGCATCGGGCAAAAAAAAAACCGTGATGATAAACGAATGTTACGTGACGGCTGTCATCTGGTGGAAATTTTGCTGGCTTTTGTTTTCAATCGTAATTTTTTTATCCATATATTGATTATCTCTAAGTGGTGCCATTGTGGTCTACTAATGAAATCCGCCCATTACGCCGCTGTGACTCGCTCTAAATATATCAGCTTCCTTCATTCAGTCATGCTCCTCATTTCTAGGGGCGTGATAATATCTGTCTGGTGGTAGGACCTCTTGTGAGTCCGCTCGGATAGGTACCACCACCCTGCCTATTTTTGCCGTGAAGCAGTGATGCGTTTCGGTTTGAAGGGTGGGGCAGCCGTTGTAACCATACTGAGGTCTTAGAACTTATATCTCAAGGTGGGTGGCGTATTTACGTTGAAGATGTCTATGGCTTCCAGTAACCACTTGAACACCAGGTGGGCTGTGAGCTCGTCCACCCATCTAAGCAATAAATAAATTAAAAAAACGCTGCTGTGAATCGCCCTAAATATATGAGCTTCCTTCCTTTAGTCGTGCTTCTCATTTCTAGGGGCGTGACCACCTCTGTCTATTATAACTTTCATCCTCACGATGTTGAACGGTGTTCTGTCCTCAAAATGTATTAGCAACATCCATGTATTATTGACATTCGTACGCCACGTCGCACGCAGATGATAACTATAGAAGATTCATATACATCGCGTACGAACACATAAACATAAATTTTTATAATCAATAAAATTAATTATATAATTTTAAGTGGACGGAACTATTTAAAAAAAAAAAACTTTTAATATTGTGTAGTTTCATTTATTTTTTAAGAATTTGAAAACGGTAGAAGTATGTTAATTTATTTTGGACATTGATGGAGAAGAAATTTCTAGAACTTAGGTCAATTTGTGAAGATAATTAAATGAAACTATCAGAACCGCATTATCAGTGTTAATGATGTAATATTAATTTAATAAACATTAGCAGACATTTACTGAAATCGACATAGAACCATCTGGATTATAATGCCTACTTTAATATTTAAGTAGTTTGTCATAATGTTAATATAAAAATCTTGAATACGAGGAAAATAAAACTTAAAATGTCAATTTCGCGTTTGACGCACTAAAAAAAACTAACTCGTAAAACTGAAATTGTAACTAAGAATACAGTATTAAAAAAAATACCGATAAAAATGCAATTCTGGTGAGATTACTTGGAGTAAAGTTAATAATATTGTCTCGCCTTGGTAGTGCATATTAAAGATAAGACTCAATTCAGTATTACATTGAAATAATGAAAACTGTTTTTATGGTTTAATCTCACTTTTTTGGAACGAAGTTCCTTATCGCGCGTTGTGAAAGGGGGCTAGACGGAAAAAATTCATACGAAAAGTTGTCACGACACTTTTTAGATCCGTCATTCTGACCAATCAACATGTAGGCGCTTATCGCGTGACATTGCTCGTATCCGATTGGTCCGCGTAATGAGTGCAGTTTCTCGAGATAGCGTTTCAACAATAGTAATTTAGTTCATAGTACTGTTTTTTCTTCTTCATAATGCCGTAATTTATTATTATAACTTAAAAAAAAATTACAATTCCTTCACTAATTAATCGAAAGGAACTTCGTTCCATCCGGGTGTCCCTTGACACCTCTGAAGTTTTTTTTAATCATTTTATTGTTTCCAACATTACGAATACTTCGCAGTTTTCATGGCGATGCACGACTAGGCTGTTTGTGATTCGTCGATATTTGACTGCTGTGCTTAATTACTGTCAATGATTCTGTTAACAATATCTCTTGACTTTGCTTTTCCTTGCACATTATTACTGGTGGTAGGACCTCTTTTGAGTCCGCGCGGATGGGTACCACCGCCCTGCCTATTTCTGCCGTGAAGCAGTAATGCGTTTCGGTTTGAAGGGTGGGGCAGCCGTTGTAACTATACTTGAGACCTTAGAACCTATATCTCAAGGTGGGTGACGCATTTACGTTGTGGATGTCTATGGGCTCCAGTAACCACTTAACACCAAGTGGGCTGTGAGCTCGTCCCATCTAAGCAATAAAAAAAAACATAGACGTAATAGCTCTAAAATCAATTAAAATAGCTGTAATTATAGCATCTCTTGGGATTTCACGAGTCATAGGCATAATTAAAACCCTGTCAATGTTTCTGTTAAAAATATTATCTTGACTTTGCTCTCCTTTGCACATAGACGGAACTAACTTTAATAGCTCTAAAATCTATTAAAATAGCTGTAATTATAGCATTCTCCTGGGATTTCACGAGTCATAGACATAATTAAAACTAATTGTACGATTTAATCTTGCGTTTTTTTATTGTCATTGTATTATTTGTCGACGTTTCGAATATTTTACAGTTTTCGTGGACGCAGAAGACTTTAATTATGTACATTTATAATGTTGTTTTCGAAAAGTTTCCGTGAAAGAAAACAAAACTGAATAATTGGGTTTATTTGACGTCTTTTAACGGTCACTGAACAAGGGTCGTATATTTGGTAGCACTCGAGCATTTTAATTGAATAATAAACAAATTCAGCACTGCAGTATATAAACTGTGTTATATCAGATTATTATAAAAAAATATATATATTTAAAATAATGTTCATTAAGACTTGTCTTGTTGTTTTACGAACGTAGAAAAATATATATTCAGATATAGTTTTGCGTTAAGTCGGGTAAAGCTATTTGATGTTAGGCGATTATAGGAGTTCATAAAACCAAATCAAATTATAAGATTAAAACTTTAATGCTTCGGTACAATGGCTGTCATAAAAAATCGCAAGATTGCTTTACGACAAATGGAAATACTCGCTCGGCCCTAATTATGTCACCAGTCACTAAAATTAAATATTTTCTCGGAGCGCTGAAGTGCCACACATTCTTTCGTCTTTTGTTTTATTTCATATACATACATCACGGTTACAAGGAGATCATTCGATTTTGTGGTAATTACGTAAGCACAAAACTGTTGCCATGCATTAGTGAACGCATTAACAGTATGAATAATTTTGAAATGTTATTATCGTTGCCTGATAATAAAATGAACTATTATTATTATTTACTAGCTGACCCGGCAGACTTCGTAGTGCCTCAATCGATAAATAATACCTAAACTTTTGTATAAAATAAACTTAAAACAAACAAAAGGAATCCGTCCGACAGGAGACACATCAAAGAGAAAACAAAATTGTTATTTTTATTTAATTCCGAGCATTTTCATATTTATCTACCTACCTACAAATAATTCAAGACCAAAATTAGCCAAATCGGTCCAGCCGTTCTGGAGTTTTAGCGAAACTAACGAACAGCAATTCATTTGTAAATATGTAAATAGATTATTTAAAAAAAAAAATGGTTCAGTTGATTATTGGTTGTATTTGTTCTCGAAAACAGGAACCGAGTGTGCCGGTACACAAAATAGTTTTTATTTTTTATTTGTAACGTTAATAGCGCTAAAAGAAAATAGGAAAATTTCACTATAAAAAATACACAAAACAGTTCACACGAATGTATAGTGTAGAGTTTTTTTAATCACTGCCATGAGCTCGACGTAAAGTTTCATGTTGCTTTTCATTTCGGCAAATGTCTCGTCCAACAAACTGCTATCGTAACGTGTTTGTCTTTTCTGTAGGAATGTTCTAGCGCGCATGTAAAGCCTTGTTCGGATCAGACGAGTATTGTAGTCGAGTGCCGAGTAATTTAGTGGCTAAACTACTCGCCCGAAAAAATAGAACAAAATGGATTGACTTGACTAAATTATTTACTAACCTACTCGACTAAATTTTAGGTGCTCACACACATTTAGCTACTAAATTACTCGGTACTCGACTAAAATACTCGCCTAGTCCGAACAAGTCTTTAGAGAGCCTTAAATGTATCGCGTTTCAAATGTGCCACCACAATTGTCGAAATAATAGTGTACTGTGTGCGGCCTGCCTAATGTAGGTAAAAGCGATGTTAACCTCACGCTAACTATCTATTTTACAAAACAAAATCGTTTCGATGTCGCTGTGTCTCATATATGCTAATACGGTAGATAAATAACCTTATTTCAATAGACAAAACGAAGTTTTTTAATATTAAAAATAACAACTAGGAAAAGTTCAAAAAATTATTCATAATATGAATATGTTGACATATTTCATTTATTAGCCTCAACTTAAGTTGGTTTTGCCTGTCTCATTCAAATGCGCCCTACGATTCAAGTGCAACCGTGCATTAATCTTCATTAACATTAGGTAGTAGGTACATTAATCTTTAAAGTTCCTTTAACTTGATAGCTCGATATTAAACGTCAAAGTTAATGCTCCACATAAATCTGCACATACATTTTGCACCATTTTTGTTAACATCATTGAGGCACGATGTCCATTACCGGTAATATGACCAATCATATGCCTCTTCAAGTTTGTAACATGATTGAAAGCGATCTATATTACCTTAGTTACACATCGTTCGTCTGAATGAAGCGGTGAATACTTCTTCCCGATCCTTCCACTCAAGGGTAGCTTTACCCAACGTCGGTCGTTACCAGAACCACTATTTTATCATCGAACTAAACCAGACCAGAGACTTGCAGTAGTTTTGTTAAACAATTTTGTTTTCTGTTCTCGTCTTGGTATTAACGTTGATTTAATATGTAATTTTTGTGTTTACAGGACATCCCTCAACAGTCCGCGCTACATAAGCCGCCCATGAAAGCAAATTATCAAATCTTACAAAACACACAAATATTAGGGCTCCAGAATGTACTACATAGAAACATGCAAGTGCCTATCATAAACATAACGCAGGCCGCTCCTAACAAACATGTGATGCGCGCCAGTACTCCCATCAATCAAATGCGAACAAACATGACAACCGGCCCTATGTCCCCGCTCAGTCTCAACATAGGCAGCCCGATGTACTCCCTGCCTTCCAGCCCTAACAGCTATTCCAGTCCCGCCATGAGCCCAGCGCAGAGAGAACGCGTTATGAGTCCTTACTCCACACCACAATCCTTATCCCCAGTAGGTAAGTTCCATCAGATGTACAGCCCAGGGCAGAGGATGGTGTCTCCAACCGGCGTCATACAGGGATCAGACCCGTATCTGACGACGAAAATGCAGCCAAGCCCAGGTTTCCCGATGCAGGTGAACGATATGCTACTGGACACGAACGTGCAACTCACAACATCGGATTTCTGGGCCGACCCGGAGTTTCTTCAGGGGACCAGCGACCTGTTAACTGCTTTCGATGACGTCAAACTTGGGTAGACGCGTGCCGTTTTTAATGTATGTTGAACGTATGAATGTGGAGTGATTTCGAGCTAGGAACACTGGTGAGAGGATTCATTTCTCCCCTTTTGAATCATTTTCTATGTTTCGAAGGGTAATGAAGCGTATGAAAAATAAAGAACTGAATTATGAATGTATGTACGAGATTGAACTCCCACAAACATTCTGACGGATGGAGTAATTTTATGAATCGAAATCACTCGAATGAATACAGGGCCGGAAATTGTAAGGAGCGGTAGTTAAGGCTTTCCAACCAAGAAGGATTCCAGAAGGGTCTCTGTATTTTTTTACCAAAGTCTACTATGAAGAAGATCATAGATTTAATACGATTTAATAAAGTCAGTCATTGACTTGTGTATTTGGAGTCCTTCCTAATGCAATATCTTACAAGCCTTTCTCCGTCCGATATGTGGCCCGGTACGATCCCATATCAACAATTGATTTTAATTGTTGACATGTAATTTTTAACTTTTTTACAATTTATAAAGATCGATTATAACAAAATCAGGGCAGATGATAAAGCTTATTTGTTTTTAATGATTTGAACAATTAATATTGAAATTATATAGAATGTTTAAAATTATAGATTTATTATTAATTTTTTTATTATTCGATAATCGTCCACGAATATTTTAAAATAATATAACTTTATTTCTGTCGTGATTTTAAAAACTATAATAGTTTATATTATGTTTATATTTTATTGTATAAGAAAATTGATTAGTTGAAACCATTCGGTAACGTATCACGTACATATAGTATATATTATGTTAGATACATCAAAATATTTTAAATAACTTTAATGATCAAAATTATATACTCAATTAGAGTTAAGGAAAACGAAATAATAAAAATCGAAACTTCTCAATTGAGGTTATTTTTTAAATGTCAACCGATTTTTTCACATTAATTTCTATGCGATGGTTATATATTAAATTCTTTTATGACTACCGACTGCTACAACGTGCTTAATGCGAGTTTTTTAATAGAGTAAAAGTTAACGTTTGCCTACGTTTGCCGCTAGGGGCGCTGTTCCAACTGCATACGAGTTAACTTTTACGCTATCGAGAACGTTAAAAAACTCGCACCAAGCACGCTTACCTCAAGAGGATATATACTAGATTTACCGAAAGTATAGGCGAGCTCAGGTAGCTCAGCCCGGGAGACTTGGCTAACATGTACCCTAGCAAGATTAGTGCTTTGTTGAATCTACCACCGGATCGGAATCGCGACACACTGAGAAGATCCGGCGAGAAACTCAGTGGCTTGTAACTGTGGTTTTAGCTCCACGACGAACCCTTCGTCGCATTCGACGGGTTTGACGATAACGATGACCAGTGTGCTTAGTGCGAGTTTTTTAACGTTCTCGATAGCGTAAAAAGTAGCTCATATCTGTATGGAATGGGATCGTTTGCCTACGTTTGCCGCTAGGGGCGCTGTTCCAACTGCATACAAAATTGGGTTAACTTTTATGCCATCGAGAACCTTAAGAAACTTGCACTTAGCACACAGTACATGGAATCGCTCAGTAAAAAAGATTGAGTACCGCTGGCTTAGTGTTTAGTGAGTGAGCCTCACTACAGCAGCACACGTCTCAGGCACCATTCCCAATCGGAGTCAGTTTTTGTTAAAATTAAGTAGTATCTGATGTCTGAGTTACTTGCTCATTATCTCGTAGTCAGTTTCTGGTGTTGAATTTAGAACGTTTCATCTGTTGACGTTACATTGGTCAGTACTCAAATATTATTTTATTGTTGGACGGCGGAAAATGAAGATAATTGTGGTCGTACATTGAGTCGATTACAAAAATTTTATAAGAATTTCAAGGTATACAAATTTTTTACATTAAATCTTATCGGGAATCACCACCACACCGTTAGCCATCTACTTTTGCGTGAGGGTTTTCGGAACACCCTGTGCGGTCGAGTAGTACCAAACATTAGTTAACTAAATTCTTAACTCTATACTATATAGTATAATGAGACCAGTCCGGAAAGCAAACCAATAAATGCAACAAATTAAAAACATACATTGCTAATGCAAGTACATAAATACTTGTCGTTTTAGTTAATGCACTTTTTTTTAACGCGCAATGAAAAAGCGCGAGTGGCCCCCCGCTTCCGCACGAGGTCGTTGACCCCGAGTATTAGTTTTAAAAAAAAAATTGTATTACATTGCGTGCTATGCAAAAAAACATTAAAACATTTTATTTTTCAATTACAGTCTTCGTTTTTCGCAACGTTCCCAATACACCATGAATTTCAAAACGAATCAAACGAACGACAAAACAATTTTCAACGTCACACGATCCGCAAACGGATTTCGGGAAATGAAAATGAATCGTATTTCATTTAAATTTGCGTAATGTCATCATAACACGTTTTGTAATAATGAAATGTTAACATTACAACTGATTGCAAAAAAAAATAACTACTCTATTATTATTATCTATAATTAAGAATAGAAATTTATTAACACGTGAAAAATGTTAAATAAAGCCTAACAATTCTTACACTTTTTAACCTGAATCATAACACGTAATGTCACATGTGGTCAATAGGTTTTACGGAATTTGAGCGGTAAAGATTCGGTGTCACTTTAAAGGAATATTTGGAAGTACATATTTAAAACTTCATCTGTGAAAACGTTTGCTTTGGTTTCATCTTTGTGATGCAATAAATAAATAATCTTGTTCATAAAATGTACTTTTTTGTTGTGCAGAAATTTGTTGAAACTTTATGTCGTACTCCAATTATCTCTAAAATATTCATACCAGCACTGAAAAATAAATCGACACATGCCAAATTTTTTAAAATTGAAAAAGGATCAATTTTTTTTTTGTATACTTAGGTATACTTCATGATTTGTCATATAAGTTAATATACAAATACAAAAACTCTTCCTACAATATGAGATAACAATGAATCAAAAACGACGTAAGAAATTAAATAATCGTCATAATGTGAATTTTATCGTGTAATTACCGTAGCAGATATTGTAGAGAAAAACAAAAGCTCTAATTGAAATTAAGCGTAAATTAAGTAAAAGACCGATGTAAAAGTTATGAATTAAATTCTTGACATTTTAAAGTCGGCTGCGCATATTTTGCATTCCTTCAGAATTTTTCTAACGCGAACCTTAGAGCAGGATAAACGATGAGTCAACGTGCCGACAGTTTGTGGGGTTAGTTGGTATTCGCTCCGGCGTGCCTCCAGGTGCGTGCCGATATTTGCCGGACAGATCGCACAACATGCGCCTGTGCTATATATATGCCGTGAACGGGCTGTATCAGTCAATAACCCAAGCCGGAATCCGCCATAACCTAAAATTAATTACGGATAAAACTATTTGTTTTGCGGCCTCCTAACTTCAAATAACGATTTTGAAGCTCGTCTACCATTTATAAACATTAAATATGTAATACCAAAAAAATAAAACACGTACCTATTTTAAGTAAGTACAGATTAAAAATTATCATAGACACAACGTTTCGCATCTTTTTGACAACGGCAAAACGTGCTAAATACTTATTAAAAGTTTTACAAGCTATGAGAAGGAAACTTAATTTGGAGTTGGTTTTCACTTTTGAAACATCATCATGTCGCTTGTGTGGCTTGTGTTTACATCGATTGATTACTCTGTGGATTTGATAATAATAAACTATCATTTCTAGAATTCTAGTCCTAACTCTCTATTTATTCAATTTCTTAATACATCTCTAACTCATTTTTATGTAATACGCTTGTGTAAACCACAATTAGACTTTTTGTTACTCTTAAAACATTAAAGTCTAATCTGAGCTCCTTTTTTATCTCTTATTTATTTTCTTAAACCCTTTTAAATGGAGTATGTGATTTCAATTCACAAGTGTTTACTTTTACTTTCAACCATTACACTATATTATACATTACATTACATTATTCTTTGATGTACGTAATATTCTTCCATCTTTGTTTAATCCAATGTCTCTTATTCTTCGATCACATTCCCATTAAAAGTTGGACGTTTGAATTGAGCGTGAATTTTAATTGCATTTTTTCTTCTACAGAGTAACCTTTTGATTTGACTTATACGAATGAACAATGGTGCCTGTTTCCACACTCGAATAAAATAATAGTTTTTAATCTGTCTATACATATTTATTTAAATTAACAACAATAATTTAAAAAACAAACATATTACACGTATAATATTTTTCTGTCAAAAGGTCTACATTTAAGTACAATCTAAATAATATATGCAAATGCAATTTCTTTCTTTGACTTTAAATCTCGTTAGGTATAGTTTTAATCGTTAAGTTAGTTTCGTAAGTAAAAGAAAAAGTTACGGTTACAAAATGTGGTAATTTTTTTGTTGAAACTTTGATTTGTTTATTTTTAGTAGATATTCAGTAAGCTATCTTACGTTTTAGCTTATAAGTTATAATGATGTTTTTTTTTGAGAAAAAAAAAAATTTATACTTTCTTTTAACCGTTATGGTTTGGTTCGTTCTTGATTACACAATTTTCTAGTTTAAATTTGGTTGCAAGTCCGCACTGTGCCATAGAGAACTTAATTTTTTTCGGTATAACTTAGCATTGACGTTTTAAGTAAATGTGGAGTTGTTTTATTATGTAATAATAAATAAATGAAATTTTATACAATGAATGCGAAACAAATTGTAAATATATAATCAGAATGTTTTATATACATATATATATTTTTGGGAATAAATTACCGTCATTGATACATTGTGGTTTTATTTTATGAATTAATTCGTATGTAAAGTATTAATGTGTAATTATGAAATATGAAGTCAATAAATTAGTTAAATATCAAGGTTAATCCTATTGCAGAGTGCTAAATAAGGCCAAAATACAAAAGGTCTTTGATACTGTACTTTTGGGTGAACTACATATATCACAGACCATCTGGTGTTAGTTAAGTGGATACCGGAGCTCATTGGTATCAGAATGTCCGCTATCTACTTGGAGACACTGGGATTTAAGTCTCAGTTTTACAGGTTGATCAGTGTAAGGTCGCCGCTCAAGAACCCGTCTGCTCCTGCGATGGTCAGTTCTACGATATATTTATGTCCAGTGATGCCATAGAAGATATAAAATTTTATATGCTCATAAATCATAGGGTCTGACCTAATAAATTCTTTGACGTACGACTGTTACATAATATTTTCCCATAAAACCGAAAGGCTACCTAAACCAGTATCTTCACCTTACTTTCGTATCTAACTTCCTGCATATCCTCATCTAATTCTTAGTACCTTCGTTCTGTCTATTTCTGCTCTGAAGTAATCAGACGCTCCGGTCGCTTGGTCATTATGGTCGTAATATTCAAACAATTAAAACTGAACTATCTCAAGAAGGCCACGGCATTTAATTTTACGCTGTCTTGTCTACGGACCCGTCTCAACTTACCAGCAAGTTTTCTAACATATTTTGTTTTTAAGCTAATAACAACTCGTCCAATCACGTGTGCGTTGCTAAGCGGATAACCCGCTTATTTCTGCCGTGAAGCAGTAATGCGTTTCGGTTTGAAGGGTGGGGCAGCCGTTGTGACTATACTGAGACTTTAGAACTATATCTCAAGGTGTGTGGCGCATTTACGTTGTAGATGTCTATGGGCTCCAGTAACCACTTAACACCAGGTGGGCTGTGAGCTCGTCCACACATCTAAGCAATAAATAAAAAAAAACCCTGTGTGGTTTGCCGAATTATGATAAAAATCACCAGATTGGTGCAAGCTTTGTAATAGTGCCATCTAGTATAGTTTTACTGAACCAATTGAGTAATATAAGAACGGTTGAAGTTATTTTAAACAATGCGACTTACCGCCACCTATAATAACAATATTTAACTACTTTCCAGAGTTTCGATGTTCAAAAACCACAATTTTTTTTACTCAATATTTTTTTTTTCCTGCCCTGCAGCAGTAAGTAGGTATAAGTTTTAAAACTGAATCTCGAACATAAAAATCTATTTACAAACCGATTTGTTGGGATTTAGTTCCTTTCTTCTTTTTACAAAAGTGAAAATAATTTTTCCGGTCTTTTTGACTAGTTAATGTATGTATGTACTTTAAGTGGCTATTTATATAGGTCTATGCTATTTACTAGTCTTGAATTTCAAAAAATATTTACTTGCCTGAAAGTGTTGACATTTGACAGTATACTGTTTAATTATCTAATGTCACTTTTCCATTGGCTGACCAAGTCGACCGTGCTAAGAAAAAATATAAATTTATTTTTGCGGTCGTTTCGCCGTTGGTGCCTTAGTTTTGATAGCGTTTTAGAAACAATGAGATAAATCATTACTGAGTTTGAGTGCTTAGAGTGAAATAAGTGCTGCGTAGTGGTTTTTTAATCATTTTTTAATAGAAATTAAAATGTCTACAGCTAAACAAGTGAANATTGGCTGACCAAGTCGACCGTGCTAAGAAAAAATATAAATTTATTTTTGCGGTCGTTTCGCCGTTGGTGCCTTAGTTTTGATAGCGTTTTAGAAACAATGAGATAAATCATTACTGAGTTTGAGTGCTTAGAGTGAAATAAGTGCTGCGTAGTGGTTTTTTAATCATTTTTTAATAGAAATTAAAATGTCTACAGCTAAACAAGTGAACGGTAATACTACTAATACAAGTAGTCCGAACAACAACGGATCTCTGGGAAAGCGGAAAAAATCTCGAGGAAGCAAAACATCGTACCTTTCTAAATGGTTAGACAAGACTATGCATCAAATTCAGGATGCCACACCAAGCATAGAAACATATGATACGTTTGTAAATCCTGTTGTTAACTGGCCGGTCGGATCTCAGTTCGCGCCAGCCTACGATCCGTATAGACATATTTATGGATGCCCCGATCCTATGTCTCTACCCACATACACGTCCTACAACCCTATGCTGCCGTTCGGCTCTGAATATCGTTACGCGCATAACATGAACAAAAGTGTCAATGTTCAAAGGGCTCGATTAAGGCTTAGGCCCGAGAGCAGACCAGAAGAAACCAACGGATCTAGCATTCATAGTCACCAGGGATATTTTCAACCAAAGAATATGTCGGACAGCCAGGACTTTGCGAGTTTGCCACCAATAGTGACGACAGTCGGCGACACGGTCTCAACCAGCGATGTAAACACGAACGAAAAAGATGATGGAAACAGGAGATTTAGTGATCCTTGTGTCCGAGGACTACCTGATGTGGCGCAACCAGCTAATGGGGATGCTGACTCAGATTCAGGAGATTCAAGTCTTGCAAGCAGTGAAATTGGTGGCCGACTGGTATCGTGTCTTTTGGATCAAATAGCTTCATTAAAATTGGCCAATGAAAGACTGACAAAAGATCTAATGGAGGCAAGAGGTGAGTAACGGAAGCTAATAATTCACAGACACACATAATTGCAATGTTACACAAAACAGCCATGAGAACTGTGAATAATTCAATTTGTTACGGATCTCACCTTTTCATTTAAAAGAGCCGTTACGTAAACTTGAATTCTAAAATTATTCTAGCAGTGTGTTTTTTACTTATAATTTCTGAACTTCAAAAGTCCTTTTATTTTGAATATAATTAAAGCCCACACAGACACCCACTGTATCACCTACTCATTGTAAATGACTCAAGGTAAATCGAAAGCTACTCCTATTTTGACAATCCATACATACATATAACAAAATGTATATACACAAGTAATCTGTGCTACTCTGTCTTTCAGTTGTCATGCAATTCTAATATTCTTCTACTTCTTTCTTCCCTATTACCNTTTTATTTTGAATATAATTAAAGCCCACACAGACACCCACTGTATCACCTACTCATTGTAAATGACTCAAGGTAAATCGAAAGCTACTCCTATTTTGACAATCCATACATACATATAACAAAATGTATATACACAAGTAATCTGTGCTACTCTGTCTTTCAGTTGTCATGCAATTCTAATATTCTTCTACTTCTTTCTTCCCTATTACCCTCTGCTGGGGTGTAGGTCTCGAATGAAATCCTTCCATTTACAACGTAATATACTAGAAAGTTAAAGCACCATGCATTATGTAGTTTTTTATCAGCACAAGTTTTACCAAATGTTATGAGAAGCCTATAGGCATCAAATCTAATGTGGATTCTATAGTCAACATAATACGAATGCATCATCAGGAACCATGACTTATCTTGAAATGTAATAAAAATCTCAGTTAAGTACGTTGTACTAAACTCCACTAGCCCAGTATAATTTCAAGGTAATTTAATATGCTAGATATTACACAGATAACAATTATGTAAAATGCTAATCTTGTTGATGTTTAATATGTATTACCAAAAATGCTTACTCATAGTTGTATTTATGCATATGCATAAGCTGAATGTATCTAGAACACAGCATGTTGTTTTATTTTAATCATGAATTTTTAGTTTTTTGCAGTATTTTTGGTGACTATAAACACAACTTCATTGATTTTATTTAAGTACATTTAAATAGTTTTATGTTGTACAGTATTTTGTCATATTCTTCTTTCAATGAGGTTTGAACTATCCTCATCAATAACAATTTGGGTGATTTCATGGTGATCTCTTTCTTGAAGCATCTGAGAAACAGTAATCATATACAGTCAGATGGACCAGGGGCTGCCTTCTATCAGAAAATAAAGTAGTACCTTTACTGTTGTCTTCACAGTAATGTTTTTTCCATAAACATATAGACGCTTGAAAGGCAAACGTGACTAAGCGACAATGCCTGAACTTTACAGTAGACTAATTTAAAGTTAAAATACCTGGAAACAAAATTTATTTTAACGAATCTAGCTGTAGTAGAATCTAGCTAGTAGCTGTAGGATTGAAATAATTTTAATAAACCTAGAAATATATATTTTTTGCGCATCGAATATGGTTATTGCCTATCATTTATGTACAAAGCAACTATTGTCGCTTAGTCACGCTTAGCCTTTCAAGCGTCGATATTTATTTCACTGATATTGTGAGTAAACTGAGTAAAACGTTATTGTTTTATCCTCATTACCATATTTGATATATCGGATTTCAGGTTCAGTGCTCAATAAAGAATCACCCAACACTTTGACCTTTCCGATCTTTGCGTTATCATATGATGTTCGCTCATACTGACTATATGGCTACATATTCTTATATAGTCTATATAGTGATTCGTAAAGCAATAAAAAACTAAAAATAGAAAATATAATTTAACGCACTAGCAAATGAAGGTCATATGTATACTTAGCTTGTGTCTTGCGTAATTCCTTGCTACTAATTAAACGTTACATTATCCATAGTGTATTGTATATTTAGACAAAAGTATACAATATTTAGTTGGCTATTGTTTAGGGTTACCAACCTTGATGTTTGAATGTGAATTGAATGTTTGAACTTTGTCATCAAATGCGCAAAACAAAATTTATCTTTGTCATTACATTTGCATTATTTTAAATGTAATTCCACTACAGTAACAGGTATACTGCTTGCAAAGAGTAGTAAGTCATTAAGAGACAAATTACATCAGTAATCTAGGAGGCAGGGAAAGCAACTATTTATTTCAGATACAGAATTTTAATTTAATTACCTATCAAAATAACTTGAATAATAGTATCTATGAAAATCTTTTCAGTGTTTTAATATATTTTACAATATTATTAATTTCCATTGAAGCCGGGATTATCACGAGTACGGCTCTGTTTTGATTTTTCAGTGTTATAATTCTCTTTCTATACTCTTTCTACTTCAATATAGTAACAATGCATTTTCAATCTTTGCTTAAAAACCAGAAACTTCCAGTTTCTTTCCTAAGCAATGTTTAAATTAAAAGCCTATTTTAAGTCACTTTCATCAGCTTAATAACAATGTATGTTGTTTTTTTTAATTATTGGCTTGAATATTGTGTTTTATTTTAATGACTACACAATTACATTCTTTTAATCATTACTCTGAAATCATTATTTTCCGGTTTAAGATCAATGAAAGAATCAATGCGATCTTATTGTGTTGGTATTATTTCTATGAGTATTTAATTTAATTTTGAACTTCCATGCTATAAATTTCAGCTCTTATCTCGATATATTACTAAAACGACCCCATAAATTCGTTATTTTTTTATTGCTTAAATGGGTGGACGAGCTTACAGCCCACCTGGTGTTATAATAAATGGTTACTGGAGCCCATAGACATCTATAACGTAAATGCGCCACCCACCTTGAGATATAAGTTCTAAGGTCTCAAGTATAGTTACAACAGCTGCCCCACCCTTCAAACCGACACGCATTACTGCTTCACGGCAGAAATAGGCAGGGCGGTGGTACCTACCCGTGCAAACTCACTAGAGGTCCTACCACCAGTAATTACGCAACTTATAATTTTGCGGGTCTCATTTTTATTACACGAGGCTATTCCTTCACCGTGGAAGTTAATCGTGAAAATTTGTTGAGTACGTATTTCATTTGAAAAATTGGTACCCGCCTGAGATTCGAACACCTGTGCATCGCTCAACACGAATCTACCGGGCGTCTTATCCTTTAGGCCACGACGACTTTAGAACATTTGATCTTTACTGTAGAGCACATCTTTTTTTAAATTCTGTTTCCGCTTCATGAATATTGTAATTAAAAAAAAAAATGGTTTCCCTTATACGATTTAAATTTCAAATCGAATTAAACGCGTTAAATACATTATGTATTTTGTTGTAATTCTGAGCCGATGTTCTCGAATGTCATGGAGTCGAGTTTCGCAATGATAAGTGGTACCTAACCCTCGCTATTGATTTTCAGCCGAGTTAGAAAACTATCGGCCTCACAATGTTATGCTCCAGAAGGGATCGAGCTCAAGTATCGGTGCAACGCCACCAAGCCATTCGCTCAATGATAACGGTGAGTCAACGACTTTGTAATGCAGTCTAGATTCTCTCTCCTAACTAAACGCTAAATATTATTTTATTCGAATCTAAAAATCTACGTCAACAATACCGTCAACAATTCTATTAAGTTACACGTAATTACATTAATAAGTGTAGACTTAATTGGTAATCGCATGTAAATGGTTAGTAAAGATAGTCATAGCTGTTGTTAATTAGTTTAATTATTTACTCATTTACAAAATGAGTTTTATCAGGCACCGATTATTGTGTAGTAGTGAAGTAATGAGTAATGAGTAATTTTACTTTCTTTGACAGTACAAACAAAATTAGTTTCTTATTAATTGCTAGAAATAAGCTTAAAATGTAAGCACCATTTTTCGTTCGTAGGAGTATCTAATCGTTGCTAGCCTACGTGAATATTCTTAACTATGCGGAAAAATGTAAATCTGGATACAGTACCTACATCCTGAAATTGGTAGCCGCGTTGCCTCCTGTATCACATAAACTTACCTGTAAAGTGTTAAAAAAATGCAACTAATGTTATGTTCCCCGAACTGTGCGATATATTTTTTTGATTTTCAATACTTTACAATACCCTTTTGATTTTCAATACTAAGCCAAAATTTAAGCCACTGACATTCCAGAACTATTATGGTTTAATTTATTTTAATTCGTCATCGTCCAAGTCTTTTTTTCAACTCTGTAGCCTACAGGTATAGTTTATATGTATTGTCGCGAAGTACTTTTATTGGTAGTAAGACGTCTTGTTAGCCTGCATAGGTAGGTATCACGACCCTGCCTTTTTCTGTCGCGAAAAAGTAATTCGTTACAGTTTGAAAGGCAGTACAGCTGTTGTACTGTAAAAACGGAGACTTTAAACTCATGTCCCATATGGGGGAGTATCCATGTGGATGACGGTGTTTGCGTTGTGGATGTCTATGGGCTCTGGTAGCCAGTTAACATCAGGTGGGTGGAATGGGTGGCTCGTTTACCCATCTAAGCATTAAATAAAAAGATTGGAGACTTTGGCTATATCTGCCCCGAAGGGGCAGTATCTCATATCTCGAGGGCGGTAAGGTAAGGCGGTATTCAACTGGTGATATCTATGGGCCCCGGCCACCACTGGATATCAGGCCTGCCAGCTAGCTCATTCCCATACAACGAAGTATCAGGGAATTATTGTTCCGGACCATAAATATCCAAAATTAAAAATATCGTTTTTCTTAGGAATCAGACAAAATATGTTAAACGATGCGCTTCTCACAAAAATTTTAGCGCGAATGAACAGAATCTTATTGAATTTGAATTAACATGATTCTATTGTTTTCTATCGAACTTTTGAGGTTTTATTTTCTTTAACGAGTATTGATCGTCGAGTTCATCGAATTTTGGAAACAATCGGTTCGAAAGAAACAACTTGGAAAATACTTTTAATGTTTGATTTCAGTATCGACCGACCTGAATCCGCGTCGTGCCTGTCATTAGCGATTCAAAAACAATTGCACGAAAGTATGTCGATATCGTTCGGGTTGTTGCGAAACTTTCGTGTGATCGATTCAAGTTAACAACTCGCCAAAAAAATCGTTTTCCATGTCTCGATGCGGAGAAATCGCGTGTAGTGATGACCTTAACGATAGATAACCTTATTTATACGGATAATAAACGCTGAACTAATCTTCTTCTTCTTCTGATTCGGTCTCTTTATTACTGAAGGTCGTGTCTAATCTAAAATACCACTACCATAACCACACAATGCTTCCCCACGTCTTCCTGTCCTCGGCGGTCTTTATAGCCTCGGTTATTGGCAGGCCGGTGAGCGTCCTAACCAGATCAGACTAGCGGATAGGTGAGCGTCCGCGTGATCTTTTCCCGCCAACCTGACCAACTACCATCAGCTTCTCCAAGTTATCGAGGTCTTTACGAGCGATGTGGCCGAAGTACGCGAGAATACGTTGGAGGCAGATAGCGGACAGCCTTGTGGCAATACCGAGCTCCTTCAGAATGGACAGGTTGGTCCGGCGTGCTGTCCATGGAATTCGCAACATCCGTCTCCAACACCACCTGAACTAATAGTTGCTTGTTTTTAGGATGGGCTAACGCTCTAACGATGCACTTAATGTTAAGAGTTTACTGGAGCTCTTTCTTGGGCGTCGCAACGTAAATTGCATCATTCGATTCAGGATTGAAAGTCTTTTGGGAGGTTCAACGACAAAGCGAAGATTTTCCACTGAGCGGGTGAAATTACTCGGTAGACCGACGGTCCAAATATTGTTCGGAACTTGTATATATGCAAGCTTATCTTGAAAATGTCGTAATTCAGTCATCTGTCAAATATCTTGCGTTGTATGATGGCTACCCGCCACAGTCTTAATTACGTTGTATAATGATTGTTTCAACCTACAAAATAGGACGTATGTCTACTTCAGGGCAGATATCAGCGATTTGTTGTACATCTGCTATTGCTATTCGGGTTCCCACCTTTTTTTTTGTAGATAAAGCACATTGGTTATTATAGGTAGGAAAAAAGGTACATAGTATTAAAATAAAGTACAATTTATTTTTTATTATTATCCTTTCATCAGTTGAATAATTAAAACAATTAAAATGACAATTGGTCCCTCCGGAATCCGGTTATGCAGTAACCGTGTGTTGAAGGTATATTATGTTTAAATTTTTTTTTTATTACCATTGAACAAATTAAACAAAACATTGTGACAATTAATGACAGTGACATCGTTGACATTTGAGGTTAAGTTGCGGTGAGAATATTTGTTATAAAAACGAGTGCGGGATGTACTCGTAGCGTTGGCGAGTGGCGACATCGATTGAGCAGTCGATGTATTTCGCTTACCAAAACAATACATGTGTTTAAACTTTTCGAAATCCCAAAGAAACCAAATCATGCCAAATAAAGTATTTTCGTTCACTTTATTATTCACATAAAGTATAGAGTACCTTACTTGAAATAACGTACAATACTTTATTATAAAGTACGGGTGGCAACCCTAATTGTTACCTCCAATGATTTTGCTTATACAATGATATTAATTTGTGTATCGGAGAAATTTTTAACACGTTTATATAATACGTACCCAAAACTTATGTATGATATCTCAACAAATACTAGGAATAATGGGTAACTATTAGATAAGTCTAACCCAAGTTGAGTCACATGACAAAAACACTAGTCGGATTACCTATTCAGTCACGGATGCATAAAGGCATAAATGTTTGGTTTCACGCTCGTGACCAGTTTGAAGAAGATTTTCTCTTGCCGCATAAACAAAAGGAGAATCGGTGCCTCAAGTCAAGACCACCTAGCTGATCCATTGTTTGTAAGAATGCAGCTTTCGATAGTTCATTCTTATACGCTTACATTCGTATCAGATTGTGTGTTGCGTGTCCAGATTTCTCAAGACTATTGCTGTGCTAAATGATTGAATTAGGTTTTTTCTTTGTGTAATATAACAATAAATGTATTATTACGCGGTTTCACGCCAAATTTGTCGGCTTGTACCGGTACCGATTGCGCCAAACAAATGCTGGAATGCTTGGAACAGGATTGTTCAATTTGGGTGTCTGTTGGTATGGACTTTGTTAGCCAAATTCAAATAAAGCAGGAGGTTATTAATTCGATTTTTTTTGTGTTATTTCAGAACTTTATTCTAGATGGACCGATATTGAGGATTATAATATTTATATTTGAAATTAGGTTATCATGTGGTTGGTTCGATTTAAATTTAATCAAAATCTTACTAGTTTTATTTATTCTTAATGGTGTATATTTGTTCGACTTCGACTATATTGATGACTAGCGACCCGCCCTCGCTTCGCTTCGGAAACATTAAAACACACATGAAACCAAAAAAATAAAATTAAAAAAAAAATTAAAAAAGTAGCCTATGTTCATCAGGGACAATGTCGGCTTCTAATGGAAAAAGAATTTTTCAAATCGGTCCAGTAGTTTCGGAGCCTATTCGAAACAAACAAACAAACAAATCTTTCCTCTTTACAATATTAGTATAGATTACTAGCGACCCGCCCTCGCTTCGCTTCGGAAACATTAAAACACACATGAAACCAAAAAAATAAAATAAAAAATAAATAAAAAAAAGTAGCCTATGTTCATCAGGGACAATGTCGGCTTCTAATGGAAAAAGAATTTTTCAAATCGGTCCAGTAGTTTCGGAGCCTATTCGAAACAAACCAACAAACAAATCTTTCCTCTTTATAATATTAGTATAGATTAGTATAGATGCTTTCATTTTGTTTTGATAAAGTTGTTTTAGTTTTATTTTTCTTAAATTATCCTTAAGCAAACATTCGGAGATAGGATCTATGATTTTTCCATATTCAAAGATCCTTTTCTTTAGTAATCATATTTAATTTATTCAAAAGGCTACTGGTAATGGAGCATATTGTGGTCCGCATGGTTATATACCTCGTTACACTTAATTAAGCAACATTGCTAGAGGCAAATTATATTAGAGATACAATTGTTAGTCGTACATAAGATACCGTAGGCCCCTTAATTTGTTGCTATCAACATTGTCCATATATATAATTTGGGGTATTCACACATCGTTGACTGGAACGTCGCGTAGTTCAATTGTACAATGGACAATGTTAATGATAACCTCAACTAAACGCGTACCAGTTGAAACTTACTGTTACGGATGCAACTAAGTCCTAGATGTTGAAAAAAATTTTTTTATTTTTTTTATTGCTTAGATGAGTGGACGAGCTCACAGCCCACCTGGTGTTAAGTGGTTACTGGAGCCCATAGACATCTACAACGTAAATGCGCCACCCATCTTGAGATATAAGTTCTAAGGTCTCAATTATAGTTACAACGGCTGCCCCACCCTTCAAACCGAAACGCATTACTGCTTCACGGCAGAAATAGGCAGGGTGGTGGTACCTACCCGTGCAGACTCACAAGAGGTCCTACCACCAGTAATTACGCAAATTATCATTTTGCGGGTTTCATGTTTATTACACGATGTTATTCCTTCAACGTGGAAATCAATCGTGAACATTTGTTGAGTACGTATTTCATTAGAAAAATTGGTACCCGCCTGCGGGATTCGAACACCGGTGCATCGCTCAATACGAATGCACTGGACGCCTTATCCGTTAGACCACGACGACTTTTAAATTACACTCTTACATCTGAATCATTCAGTGTTGCCCATTACTAGCCAAACTTTCCCCATTTTTCTGGGAGAGTTTGAATAGGAGAAAGTCAATTGCGATGTTCGCTAGTTGAACTTTAGTTGCTGAATTTGCTTGCCTGTACCATACTTTGGGCTATAAAAAAATGGCAGTACATGTTTTCGTGTGTTCCAGGTGCAATGCCCAGTCAGTATTCTCCGGGGTTCCTCACGGATTTGGTGCGGGAGATCAGAGACGCGTCGCGGATGCGAGAAGACGCACTCTACTCGAGGGTCCGAACGATGATGCTCGAAAGGAATGACGTACGTAACATTAGTAGCATTTATTTATTTTGGTATATACACGACGCAAAGGATGATTCCATGGCGTTGTTAAAATGATGACGTCGGCGTCGCTGACGCTATTCTCTTCAACATTATCATTGCATTCCATAGTCACTATCTGGATATCTAGTCTTGATCGACTGTAAGCTCGTTATGGTCCCCATGCAAAAAAAAACCTTTTTTAGTACGGAGACATCACATATTGAATACGAGTTCCAAGTTTATTAATTACTTTACCTTTTAAATCAGAACAAACGACTGCTTCGGAGTATGAATAGGCAGGATGGTGGTACCTACCCCTGCTGGTCTGTAGTACGCTCTTCCAGCATAATTTTGTTTTTTCCTATTCCTATTCTAGTGATCTCGAGGGGTCACCGGGCGAGTATCTTAGGAGACCCCCCTCACTCCCTCCCTCCCCATAAATGATAAACACACAAAGAAATATGATTCTAATGTAAACATTAAACCCTAAACATAGCACAAAGCCCAAAATACGTGGACATTTTTTTCTATGCAGATATGAGAAATTTCGCGCTTCTAACTTTGAAAATGTTGGGTTTTTTTCCTACCTATGCCGATAGCCCTGAGAGGCTATTTCAGCTTCGCCTTGACGTGTGGGTGAGCTCACGGGGCTCAAACTGGGAGTGTTGCTAGCACTGGCCCTAGCAAGAGCAGTGCTTCGCAGAATCTACCACCGAATCGGAAACGCGACCCACTGAGAAGATCCGGCGAGAAACTCAGTGGGCTGTGTCTATGGGTTAATTTACTCGTCGAGCCCTTCGTCGCAAACGACGGGTTCGGCGAGGACGGTGACCGGTGCTTGAGGTACCGAAAAGCACCGATAATGGATCGGGAGGATCTGTAATGACGTGTAAAATGTAGGAAGGATATAGTGTATCCTTATAACACATAAGACTGCGAATATTAAAATTTTCTAGTCCCAGTCGTAAACCGCCAGTAGACATGAGAATATTGAACCCGCGTTTCGATATTAATTTTTAATCGTCTTCCATTGCGTGCCGTGCAAAACATACGAAGTACGTAATGTAGTAAAATACCTAGTTAGTGTATTTTTCAATTTAATCAATTATTATAGGCCCTACCATCGGTTCTCGGAAACGGTACTTTTAAAACCACATTCATAATTGAATTATAATATACTTTTCTACAAAAACGTTATAAATTTTAATAAAATAGGAATTCCATGATTATTCATGCGTAGGAATGTTCAAGTTAATTATAGTAATTATGTAACGGTTGTGATAATAACAATAAGTTGAATGCATAATTTATTGCACGGAACAATAAGGATATATGTCAACAAATAAAACAACGACTTTACTGCCTTACCATAGAAAGCTTATAATTGGTTTTGCAATAATTTAAGGGTCTTCTGATTGCGGAAAGAAAATAGAGGTCAATTGATCGTTGCAATGAATATTTGTTTTAGGCTTACCAATTTGTGTCTTCCTTGTTTTATAGAAAAATAACTTCGCCCGCGGATTCAGCCGCAAAAAAATTACAATTTATATTAAAATATAAGACGCATTAAGACGATTCAGAAAACCAACTGCTTTAGATAAATTATAGCTGAACATACATGCACACATACGTTCTCTTTTATATATATAGATTTCATATCAATTTAACCTGGGCTTCAAAATGCAAAATTCACTGCTACAAGCGCCACCTATCTGACACTAGCGGAACTGTGTTTGAGTTGTTGAAAGTTTCATACCTATGGGGGTTAACAGTTCTCGAGTTTTAGGTGAACATACATACATTTTGTGAAGTCGTCGTGGCCTAAACGATAAGACTTTCGGTGCATTCTTGTTGAGCGATGCATCGGTGTTCGAATCTCAGGCGGGTACCAATTTTTCTAATGAAATACGTACTCAACAATGTTCACGATTGACTTCCACGGTGAAGGAATAACATCGTGTAATAAAAATCAAACCCACAAAATTATAATTTGCGTAATTACTGGTGGTAGGACCTCTTGTGAGTCCGCCCGGATAGTTATCACCACCCTGCCTATTTCTGTCGTGAAGCAGTAATGCGTTTCGGTTTGAAGGATGGGGTAGCCGTTGTAACTATACTGAGACCCTTAGAACTTATATCTCAAGCTGGGTGGCGCATTTGTAGATGTCTATGGGCTCCAGTAACCACTTAACACCAGGTGGGCTGTGAGCTCGTCCACCCGTCTAAGCAATAAAAAAAAAAAAACTCTTTTATATTATTATATAGATAAGCATTCAATCATCGGTGTATTTCGTCTTAATTATGTTTTTGTCTTTCAAACCAACCAAATTACTTTGAAATTCTAACACACAAAGGTTTGCTTTGCTACAAAAAGATCAATAGTTAAACATTATTTATTTTTATAAAATAAAGAAATTAAATAATTTACGGCTATTTGAAAAACAATTTAACTGCACGCAATGAATGAATCTATATCTATACTAATATATAAATCTACGGTGGTTTTTACGGATGTTCCGTTATAACTACTGAACCATGCATCCGATTGACTTTGAAACTTGGTATTCATGTAGAAAATACATGTACTTAATGGATAGCCTAATATTTATATAAGCGTTGGACTCCCTAATAATAATGATAATAAATAATAATGTTAATTTTAAATGCCCAGCGAAGCGGGCGAGTACGGCTAGTCACAAATAAAATTTGATTTTGTAATGTGAACCAACTAAAATGATAATATATTAGTATTTGTGCTTAGCTTAATAGCTGAATCTTTGTCGGCCATGTCGATTTAGTAATTTACTTTTTTTTTGTTTGTTTATTGCTTAGATGGTTAGACGAGCTCACAGCCCACCTGGTGCTAAGTGGTAACTGGAGCCCATAGACAATTACAACGTAAATGCGCCACCCACCTTGAGATATAAGTTCTAAGATCTCAGTATAGTTACAACGGCTGCCCTACCCTTCAAACCGAAACGCATTACTGCTCCACGGCAGAAATAGGCGGGGCGGTGGTACCCACCCGCGCGGACTCACAAGAGGTTCTACCACCAGTAAAAAACTACACTTGAAATCTTTTCTTGGCTTAAGTTATTTTTTTCTTGATAATAGAAGTTATATAATAGCTAATAAAATAACTGTTAACCGCTTTATCATATCGCTCAATATCTTCGATTACATTGCTTATCTGAAATTCAAAATATTTGATCGGCTTTCTGCTACATAAAAGAACACCGAAGTTCCTACTCACCGAATTGTCAGATCTTCTCAGTGGGTCGTGCTTCCTATCCGGTGGTAGATTCTGCGAAGCCCTGCTTAGCTGAAGGGCCAGTGTTAGCAACACCTCCGGCTTGAGCCCAGAGAGCTCACCTACACGCTAGGCTAACGCTGATATAGCCTCTCAAGGCTATCAGCATAAGTAAGAAAAAAAAAACACACCGAACAAGGTAACATCAGTGCCGAAGTCGTCGTGGCCTAAAGGATAAGACGTCCGGTCCATTCGTGTTGAGCGATGCACCGGTGTTCGAATCCCGCAGGCGGGTCCCAATTTTTCTAATGAAATACGTACTTAACAAATGTTCACGATTGACTTCCACGGTGAAGGAATAACGTCGTGTAATAAAAATCAAACATGCAAAATTATAATTTGCGTAATTACTGGTGGTAGGACCTCTTGTGAGTCCGCACGGATAGGTACCATCGCCCTGCCCATTTGTGCCATGAAGCAGTAATGCGTTTCGGTTTGAAGGGTGGGGCAGCCGTTATAACTATACTGAGACCTTAGAACTTATATCTCAAGGTGGTTGGCGCATTTACGTTATAGATGTCTACGGTCTCCAGTAACCACTTAACACCAGGTGGGCTGTGAGCTCGTCTACCCATCTATGCAATAAAAAAAAAACATCTTGACGCATGGGGTTGAAGTCTTAATGGTATTCCAGTGGGTCGTGCATGGCAAAAACGTACCTATTAAAAGTTTCTGTGGAATGTGCACATGAACGCACCGGTTCCTTATAGCTCGGAGAACTGCTTCGGTACCTAATGGTGCCATGTTAAAACATTTACTGGTGGTAGGTCGTATTGTAAGTCCACACTGGTAGGTACCACAAACCTGTCTCTTTCTATAGCTCAGACCTCGACTGAGCAGTAGAAACGGACTTAGACCTCGTGTGTTAAAGTGGTGGTGTTCATATCAGATCAATAGGCTTATAAACATTTAGGAGCCGACAGTTCTAGTTTTTGTACCCAAAACCCAGAGAGCTCCAAGAAGTCTCCTCGAAAATTACATACACGTCCGACAACCGGGCATTTTGGCACAGATCTGAACAGTGTTCAAGATAAGTTTACACTCGTATGCCGTCTAATTAGTCTGGGGCATACTTTGGCGCAACTCCAGATTATATAAATGCACTGTTTTCCTCGTCAATTCTGTATATTTTTTTCATTTTATTCAATCCTGGTGTACGGTTATTGTTCTCAAGCCAGCTTAAACAATATTCCTATCTGCTTGCCGAAGAACTAGGGGCAGTATTCGCGTTGTCAAATGTCACCAGTAATCACTTAAAATCAAGTGGACTATGAACACTTACATCCCTTAAAAACTATTCTATATTATGTCGTAAGTAAAGGCGAAAAAAAAACATTTTTTTTTTACCTAACTGCCAATTAGGTAAAACAGGTTGCGGGGCTATTCTGGCTTAGCCATGTCTGGTAGTTGAGCTCACGGGACTCAGCCTGAGAGAACTTGCTAATATCTGCTCTGGCAAGAGTAGTGGTTCGCTGAATCTACTACCGCATCGGAATCGAAATCCACTGAGTAGATCCGGCGAAAAACTCAATAGATAGGAAATAGTAGTGATTATCAGATCACAATGATCGTTTCGAGCAGGGAAATACTGTTTGGTTCAAGCGACATTTTTGCAATTTAACAGAAGGAGCCATTTGAAGTTTAAAATTTGGAAAAAAATATCGTAGCAAAAGAACTTCAGCTAATTGAATGGAGTGAACATAATTGAAGTTCAATTAAAAACATCAAATTCTTGATACTAATCACTACATAGTATAAAAACTATAAAACAAAGTCGCTTTCTCTGTCCCTATATCCCTATGTATGCTTAAATCTTTAAAACTACGCGACGGATTTTGATGCGGTTTTTATTAATAAATAGAGTGATTGAAGAGGAAGGTTTATATGTGTAATAACATCCATTAAATAGTGGAGAAATCAATAATAAATTACAGTTTCCGAAGCGAAGCGAGGGCGGGTCGCTAGTACCAAATAAAACGGATCTTTTATTACAAAGATAAATGTCGCCTATTATCATTATTATTTAAACGAAGTAACTCTTCATCCTCGGTTTGATGCGGGCTACACGTATATGGACGTGTATTAGCGTTACGAGACTTGATTCATACAAATATTATTCAATAGAACATTATCGGGCTCGATGATGGCTTAGCGAAGCGTAATAGATACCGTACGGTATAATAGATACGGTATCTCTCGCATCAACTCCCGCTGACGGTGCTATCAAACGCTGTCCGATCCCCCGATCGTATCTTTGTAACGGCTTTTTTTTAGGCAGCGGCTTGTCTCTGCCCCTGGCATTGCTGGAGTCCATGGGCGACGGTAACCACTCACCATCAATTGGGCCGTACGCTCGTCTGCCTACAAGGGCAATAAAAATTAAAAAAACGTTTTTAATCGCTACTATTCTTGTCAAGAAAATATCGGGAAAAGACCAATAATAGACAAAATGTTAGTTATTCATCCGAATTTATTTGATAACCTTTAAAGTGTGCTCTTTCAGCAACGATACGCTTACACGCCAACGAATAATTCAATCATCAAAACATTTTAAAACCTTTTTTCTGCGATTTAGTTGAGTGGGCCTAGCGCGAGTTTTTTTTAACGTTCTCGATAGCGTAAAAGTTAACTCAAATTTGTATGCAGTTGGAACAGCGACTCTAGCGGCTAATGTAGGCGAACGTTCCAACTCTTATAGCACGTACACGTAAACACATATTTTTGATAAAGTCGATTCAACGTAAGTCTTCTGTGACATTTTCAGTGACTCCGAACGCGAAATTCCATTGGCGATGCAAAAATAAATACAAACTTTGTTCGATGTTTTTGTCTATTAAGAATAAACACTAGACTTGATGTATGTAACTAACAACAGCACTCTATTTTTTCGAAATAAATATAATGAGAAGAACAAAACAGAAAATATCAATATAGAGCCAATAAAAATAGTTTAACTTTTTAATGTCGGTAAAGGAAACTGTATTAATCGTAATGTTTTGTTTGCAGAACGTTGTATCGTCTTCCGAAACGAAATACATTGAAAAAGCTCTCGACGAGATCAAGGTAAGTTATTTTAAAAACAGCGCCATCTAGCCGAATAATCGGAACTTAATTGCTTTCACGGTTCTAACTCTTAACCTCGTAGTTCAAATGAACGCTCACAGGTGGCGCTGTTTCAGATTCTAAAATTACTATGTTTGTAATACAGCTTGCATTAATTTTCTCAATCACACAGCTAAGTGCCCTTCCTTAGTTCACAATTTTTTCATCTTTATAGTGACTTAAACTGGCAGAGATATTCATTTGGGCTTGATTTTGTTCTGTTTTTGTTCGTTGTCGTGATCACGGGCGATTACTGTGTTATGTTAAATCCTGTCTAAGTTTCTATTTCGTATAGAGCAGGAGTGGCCAACTTGATTAGTGCCAAGATCTACTATCTACTGACGAAACACTCTGCGATCTACCTTTCTTGAAATTTAAGGAAACAATATAGTTCAGTATACAAATAAGTAATATATTTTCTTTTATTATATTTAAATAAACCTGAAATTATATAATAAAAGAGAACTATTGTATGGAAGAGAGGATAAATAATGTGACGTAACGGTCATTAACAGATGATACATGATGAAGATGATGCGTGCAGTAGTTGGTGATTACGTTGCGCAGTCTGTTCTACGTATTTATATTTTTTTGTCTTGCCACGATCGACCGGTCGATCGCGATCTACCGGTTGGCCACCCCTGGTATAGAAAGAATAGAATTAAAACAATAAACGCTAGGTTAAACTGGGAAAGTAGCCCTATCTCCACTATGACTCGCGAAATTCCTAGTATAAATAATTTATTTAATCGATTCAAAATGGCCTTAAATGCCGTGAAGGTGTAAGTTTTAGCGATACATATTTGTTTATTGTCAAAACGTTTGTTTGCCCTGGTGGCTGGGTGGTCCGACTTGGAGTGCTCTTGTGGCGCGCGAGACGCGAAACGTCATTCGATGACTTTGCGAATAATTTGTATGCATTAAATGATTTTTGAACATCTTCCCAATGGTTTATCTTGAGAATTGGAATAGTTTCTGAAGTGCTTACGCATGGGAATGCTGAGAATTATTTAAAAATATACGGTATTTTTAAAAGCAAGCTTTTTAAAAAAAAAAATTGCTTAGATGGGTGGACGAGCTCACAGCCCAGCTGGTGTTAAGTGGTTACTGGAGCCCATATACATCTACAACGTAAATGCGCCACCCACCTTGAGATGTAAGTTCTAAGGTCTCGTATAGATACAACGGCTGCCCCGCCCTTCAGACCGAAACGAATTACTGCTTCACGGCAGAAATAGGCGGGGCGGTGGTACCTACCCTTCCGGACTCACAAGAGGTCCTACCAGTAATTAAGCAAATTATAATTTTCTGGGATTGATTTTTACTACACAATGTTATTCCTTTACCGTGGAAGTCAATCGTGAACATTTGCTAAGTACGTATTTCATTACAAAAATTGGTACCCGCCTGCGGAATTCGAACATCAGTGCATCGCTACATATGAATGCACCGGACGTCTTATCTATCCTTTAAGCTACGACGACATCAGAATACTTTGTAAAAAATTGTACATTTTTTATTACCCTTGCAGGCAGACGAGCGTATCGCCCACTTCATGGTAAGTGGTTACCGTCGCCCATGGACGTCATTAATGCCAGGGGCAGAGTTAAGCCGCTCCCTACCGTTAAGTACTTTTTCTATTGGTTTAAGCCTTCCATTAAAACTTAATTGAGGATAAATAACAAAAAAAAATCACGCATTGAAACCAACGACAGTTGCATACCGCGCGTCTTTGTGTGAAGCTGCTTTCAGACTACGCTATAATATAATAGCATATAGTATATAGCTCATAGCACAACAATATCGCACAACATACCCCGATCCATTAACGGTGCTTTTAGGTAGGTACCACAAACACCGGTCACCGTCCTCGTCGAACCCGTCGCTTGCGACGAAGGGCTCGACGAGTAAATTAACCCACAGACACAGCCCACTGAGTTTCTCACCGGATCTTCTCAGTGGGTTGCGTTTCCGATCCTGTGGTAGATTCTGCGAAGCACGGCTCTTGCTAGGGTTCGTGTTAGCAACGTCGTCAGGATTGAGCCCCGTGAGCTCACCTACTTGTTAAGGTTACCCTGAAATAGCCTCTCAAAGCTATCAGCATAGGTAGGGAAAAAAAACACACCATACATTGTTATGGACATGTTCACACCATACTGTACTATATATTATTGGCTAAGTATAGGCTGTTATACTATATTGCACTATAGCATAGCGTAGTCTGAAAGCAGCTTAATAGAGGAAATCGTAAAAAAAAGGAATATTATAAAAATCTAATATTTAAAAAAAAAAAGACATGCCCGCTGAGTTTCTTGCCAATTCTTTTCAGGACGGAGGCTAGTTCTTGTGAATTGGCGGTAGTTCTTTTGACGTTCAACAAATATGTACTTTCATTTATGTTGAATAAAAAAAATTTGATTTGATTTCATTTGATTTGATTGAGTATTTCGTGGTCTTCACGCGGCGTAGGGTTTTCGAAGTTGGGAACGGGTGCGCGCATCGAAAATGGCGGGTGGAACGCACAGGGGCGGCAATGTAAATATTGGCAGATGCGAGTGGATGGTGCTACGGCAGCGCGCCACCCCTGCAGGCGACCGCTTCGATTCCCGACTCGGCCGTCGTCGTGTTGTTAATATTTAATACCGTAGCGGTATTATTATAATCGTTGCTACGTCGGAGCGGTTAATATATATCGTGGATAACGACTTGCGTATATTGAATAATTTTTTGTTATTTTATACATAATTTTTAACATTAAAAAACCGATTTGTTTAGTTAAGAAACATCAATGATAGGTTTTAGAAAGAAATCATTATGAAATTGTTATCAAAACACAGTAAGTAATATTTCAACACATATAATAAAAAAACTGAAATGCAAATTCATAACAATTTGAATACAGATTTTCTATATTAACTTAGTGCGACTGCCCCCCGTTAATTATCAAATTGCCCCCTTGTGGGGCGTGGGCCCCACGATGGGAAACCCGGTCTAAAAATTCTCATTTATGAACCCTGAACGCAACTTTTTTCGAATGTTAAACCGTCGACGTCGCCCAAAGCACGTCATTACGGATCCTCCTGATCCATTAACGGTGCTTTTAGGCACCACAAGTACCGGTCACCGTCCTCGTCGAACCCGTCGCTTGCGACGAAGGTCTCGACGAGCGAATTAACCCATAGACACAGCCCACTGAGTTTCTCGCCGGATCTTCTGCTCTTGTTAGGGTCAGTGTTAGCAACACTCCGGTTTGAGCCCTGTGAGCTCACCTACACACGTTAGGGCGAAGCTGAAATAGCCTCTCAAAACTATCAGCATAGGTAGGAAAAAAAAACTCTTTTTAATACCACATAGGCTGTGAGATCGTTCGCTTTTGTCATTGAAAATATCATGATTCACAATCATTGACACATCCAATGCATTTAAAATATCAATAACTGAACTTAAAAATAAGCGTTCACTGCAAAGAAACACGCGTTCGTAACGATTACAAAATATATATTTATATTACATCTTCGCGTCGACATAACGCGTTCTTATCGTTTCGCGTGGGCGTAGGTACCGTCTGTTTGTACCGTCAATTATCGCACTCGAGCCTCGGCCGGCTCGTACGTAATAAGTTAATTGAAGTGCAAAAACGTTTGTGCGCGCTTAGCTTGCTTAGCACTAGCGTTTTAATGCCGCCAGCGCGATAAACGTTTTAAACTCACTAAGTGAAGTTAAATTTTACGCTTTTCGGGCTTGGGTTTATTTAATGCGTGCGAATGAAACGCTAACCGGGTTTCGTGAAGCGTTTCTCGATCGCTGCTTAGCGTAATCCGGTGTGCTTAGTGCGAGTTTTTTTAACGTTCTCGATAGCGTAAAAGTTAGACAAATTTTGTATGCAGTTGGAACAGCGCCCCTAGCGGCAAACGTAGGCAAACGTTCCCGTTTCATACAAATATGAGCTAACTTTTACGCTATCGAAAACGTTAAAAACTCGCACTAAGCAAACCGAAGCGAAAAGTTTTTTTTTTTCATACTTATACGCTGGTAGTCTCAGAGGCTATTCCAGCTACGCCCGGACCGGTAGGTGAGCTCACGGGCTCAATCTGAGAGAATTTGCTAACATTAGCCCCCTAGCAAGAGCAGTGCTTCGCTGAATCTACCACCGGATCGAAATCGCGACCCACTGAGAAGATCCGGCGAGGAACCCAGTGGGCTGTGTCTATGGGTTAGCTCGCTCGTGATCGACGAATTCGATGAGGAAAATTATATTAACGGATACGCAATACGAAAATCAATGGACAAACAGATATCTGGTCGGTAATCGAAGTCCATGTAGTGAATTACGTACTGGAGTCTATAGACATCGGAGCATCGCCTTAATTCTTGAAACGTAAGGTCGAATTTGCAACTGCGTAAATAAAACTGTTCAACTAGTCGAATCGCCAGAAATCAGGACAGGCTTGCAACATAATTTAACACCGGTTAACGATAAGCTTAAGTTGATCAAACATATGATCTTATAGGATATATTGTATTTTTAATAAATTATGGATTAAATAAAATTATAATAAGAAAAGTATATAGTGTATATATCCTTTCAGTGGTGTCATATGAAGCAGCTATGAACGCGTAAAAAAGTTAGTCAATCACTGTACACTGGGATCAGCTGATGGATGTACTCGCGTGCTTGTGTTTCAGCTTCTTTTTTTTGGTGTGGTCATGTAAGGAATCGCCCAGGATTAAGGAAAATCTTGTATTGGTGCTAGGGTCTCTTGTGAACCCGCAGGGGTCAGTACACTTTGCCTATTTCTGCTATGAAGCAGTAATGCGTTTCGGTTTGAAGGGCGGGGCAGCCGTCTTTCCAGTCTTTATGATGTATTAAAACCGTAAACATAGGTTGGTTTTTTTTATTGCTTAGATGGGTAGACGAGTTCACGGTTCACTTGGTAAACATCGGAGCCCATGGACATCAAAAACGTAAATGCCGCCATCCATCTTGAGACATTCGTTCTAAGTCTCAGCTTTTGCAATACAACGACAACCGCATCCTTTAAACCAAAACGTATTACTTCTTCATGGCAGAAATAGACAGGGTGGTGGTACCTACCAGTGCGGACTCACACACGCCCTGCCACCAGTAAATATATGCGCTATATTATCTCTTAAATTGGCGATTGCATGCAGCAGAGATGCGAATGTTGCGATCGATGTGTGGAGTAACGAGAATGGATAGAATACGGAATGAATATGTTAGAGGAAGTCTGAAAGTAGCACTTGTGACAGAGAAGCTGAGAAGTGCGCGTTTGGGATGGTATGGACATGTGCTGAGACGAAATGAAAATGACGTGTGTAAGAGAATGTTAACTATGAATGTGGAAAGATATAGAGGAAGAGGTAGACCTGAGAAATGGATGGATTGCGTGAAAGACGATATGGGTAAGAGGGGAGTAAGCAAAGAAATGGTATATGATAGAAGGGTATGGAAGGAGAAAACATGTTGCGCCAACCCCTGGTGACTGGGAGAAGGGCAGGATAATGATGATGATGATGATATCTCTTAAACCGTAAAATCTATTAAATGTATTGAACTAGCATTAAAATAGCTTGCAGTTATGACAGCTCACATATCGAGAGTAACAGCGAGATTTGAGCGGAACAAACAGAATTAGCCGGTCCGCACGTTGTTTGTCGTACAATGTACACTTGGCGGTGTTGTTTTAAACGCGAAGCCAAGTCGAGGGAAAGTGATATTGACGTGTGCATCCAAGTAAAAGTATTGTTTGAGCTTAATTATTTGTTTTTTTTGGGATTGTACTCACGTTCGAATCACTTCCTAGTCTTATCAATTCGTAATGATGTTATTCTTACTGGTGGAATGATCACTCACCGAGTTTCTCGCTGGAGCTTCTCAGTGGGTCGCGATTCCGATCCTGTGGTAGATTCTGCGAAGCACTGCCCTTGCTAGGGCTAGTGTTAGCAAATTCTCTCAGGTTGAGCCCGTGAGCTCACCTACCCGTCCGCGCGTAGCTTAAACAGTCCTTTAGGCTACCCGTAATTAGATAGGAGAAAAAGAGGCGGAATGATCCGAAATCTGGTATTCCTCCTAAGAATCCAGCACTTCGACTGCGCTGTCATGATATGAGATCATTTACCAACATTTAAATGTCTAGAACTTTGTAGTTTTGTAAACGGTACTGATTCTTTGACATTACTAAGAATAAAATGACTTGCAGATTTTGTAGTGCAACTACTAACGGTCTATATATACGCTTTATCGTACCGGATTTCATTGGAAGGTTATTATTTTTTATTTTATTTTTTATTGCTTAGATGGGTGGACGAGCTCACAGCCCACCTGGTGTTAAGTGGTTACTGGAGCCCATAGACATCTACAACGTAAATGCGCCACCCACCTTGTGATATAAGTTCTAAGGTCTCACTATAGTTACAACGGCTACCCCATCCTTCGAACCGAAACGCATTACTGCTTCACGGCGGAAATAGGCGGGGTGGTGGTACATACCCGTGCGGACTCCCAAGAGGTCCTACCACCAGTGATTACGCAAATTATAATTTTGCGGGTTTGATTTTTATTACACGATGTTATTCCTTCACCATGGAAGTCAATCGTGAACATTTGTTGAGTACGTATTTCATTAGAAAAATTGGTACCCGCCTGCGGGATTCGAACACCGGTGCATCGCTACACTCGAATGCACCGGACGTCTTATCCTTTAGGCCACGAAGACTTTATTATTTGTATTGCGTTCATAAGGAGATGAATTCACAGCTCTATTGGTCACTGGACTCAATCAGTTTTACGGTAAAAATAAGTTGTATAACATGTGCGTGTACAACCTTAAACTAATATCGGCCTTATATCCAATTGTGAGATTACAAAATGAATTCTTTCGAAGCGTTACAAGAGCTCGTACGTAATACACCGAAACGTTCTAAGCTATGGACGTGATATTTGCATAATTTAAGAATATTTTAGTAGTTCGGTATCTTCACCCGGACGGAGCCAGGTCAGCGCGCCGTGTCCACGAATACATTATCAGCTCCATGTAGATCCCTACTTTACTGCGTGATGCAAAACGTGCCCTGCCTTCTTTGGGACGTGACTCGGTACAAAATGATTATTTCTAGTCAATACCAAAAAAATTAAACAAACGCTTCAACGAACGAAGGAAGCATTGAGTATCGAGATACTTGGGTCGACATTTCGAGCGATGTCCAATTTCGGAGTCACTTGGAAGGCAAAGCCAAGTTGGCGTCCAAAATGCTGGGAGTCCTCAACAGAGCGAAGCGGTACTTCACGCCTGGACAAAGACTTTTGCTTAACAAAGCACAAGTCTGGCCTCGAGTGGAGTACTGCTCCCATCTCTGGGCCGGGGCTCCCAAATACCAGCTTCTTCCATGTGACTCCATACAGAAGAGGGCCGTTCGGATTGTCGATAATCCCATTCTCACGAATCGCTTGGAACCTCTGGGTCTGCGGGGGGACTTCGGTTCCCTCTGTATTTTGTACCGTATGTTCCATGGGAAGTGCTCTGAGGAATTGCTTGAGATGATCCCTTCATCTCCTTTTTATCTTCGCACCTCCCGCCATCGGAGCAGAGTTCATCCATATTATCTGGAACCGCTGCGTTCATCGACAGTGCGTTTCCAAAAGTTTTTTGCCACGTACCATCCGGCTATAAAATGAGTTCCAAATTATGACTATATATATGGCATGGAGAAATCGTCACATCAGAATATTTTTACAGAGCTCAATGCGCGCCTCCGAAGCTGACCGACATCGTATGATGGACCGTATCATCAAACTCGAAGACGAGATGAGACTCCTACGTATTACCAACGGGTAAGTTGCTAGCTATTAATGTTGAAACGTAGTATGAGCTCAAGTCAATAAATTAGTTGTCTCTTCTAGTTTTTTTTTTATTGACAATGATCATAGCAATCTATATATTAATACGTGAAGCAAAAACTTTGTACCCCTTTTTACAAAAATTGCGCGGACGGAGGAGTATGAAATTTCTCACACTTATAGAGAATATAGAGATAGAGTGCATTGTGCACTCTATCTCTATATTTTATTGTTATTTGGTTTAAGCGACGTTTTTGCAACTTTACAGGAGTGCCACTTAAAGTTTAAAATTTGCAAGAAAATATCGTAACAAAAAAGTTTCTTCAGCTATATGAATGGAGTTAACTTAATTGAGTTTCAATTAAAAATATCGAACTTTCAATGTTAATACAAAATAAAACGCACCCGTAACTACGAAGATAAATGTCGCCATTTATTTGTTATTGCATAGATGTGTGGACGAGATCACAGCTCACCTGGTGTTAAGTGGTTACCAGAGCCCATAGATATCTACAACGTAAATGTCGCCACCCACCTTGAGATATGAGTTCTAAGGTATCGGTATAGTTACAACGGCTGCCCCGCCCTTCAAACTGAAACGCATTACTGTTTCACGGCAGATGTAGCCAGGGTGATGGTACCTACCCGTACGGACTCACAAGAGGTCCTACCACCAGTAAGTACGCAAATTAAAATTTTTGCGGGTTTGATTTTTATTACACGATGTTATTCCTTCACCGTGGAAGTCAATCGTGAACATTTGTTAAGTACGTATTTCACTAGAAAAATTGGTACCCGCCTGCGGGATTCGAACACCGTTGCATCGCTTCAATACGAATGCACCGGACGTCCTATCCTTTAGGCCACGACGACTTCATGTCGCTTTTTAAAATGTCGCTTTACAAATGCTTGTCGAATGTCGCTTTTTAAGTGGAATGTGGCTTAAAGGAAATAACCTTTCATCCCTCGATGTTATATATACCAGGTCAGATCGCAGCGAGAAACTAACGAACGGGAACCTTGAAGATGCAGAAACGGAATGCATACGTCTTCGCAAAGAGATCGCGGAGATGCGCAAAGCGAAGCAGAACTCGGACGAGCACGCCTTCAAGTAAGTTTACATATGCAAGTATACTCGCACGCTGGAGCTTAGTTCGAGGGACTTGAATGGGAAATTTAAAGGTCATTTTATCAATACTGCAAACGAAGATCGCTAAAAGGTTTGTTTTTTCATCGCCCTTGTTGGCAGACCGGCATACGGTCTACCCGAGTGAGTGGTTACCATCGCCCATGGACGTCAGCAATGCCAGGAGCAGAGCCAAGCCACTAGCCTCGTTTGAAGAAGGATATGTCATAGCGCTACGGGAAATACCGTGGAGGGGAGCTCATTCCAAAGCCGGGTGGACGTGGCAAAAAAGATCTCTGGAAACGCACTGTCGATGAACGCAGTGGCTCCAGGTAGTATGGATGAACTGTACTCCGGTGGTGAGCGATGCGATGGTAAAAACGTGATGATGGTATCATCTCAAACAATTTCTCATGATTAGATGAAACTGTCTAAGGCATCTTAATAGTGCTTCAGAATGAATTCGTAGATGTATGAGCTTGTAGAGAGACTTGTTCGGTATTTCTGAAAGTTTATCTCAAACCTTTTATTGTTCAGATCAAGTAAGAATTCACAATCTAGTCATAGTTTGGTATATGCTTCGCCCTAGGACTTGGTATTTCGAATGTGTGGCCGCCTTTTTCTATGTAGAAGCACCTTAATTTATAAGTGTTTACATTTAAAGGACTTTTTAACGATCAAATTTTTAAATTTCTGATTAGAATAATATGACTGTCGGGTTTTTGATTAGCGTGTCCTAGTTTTTAGTTTAGTTTCAAATGCTTTTACTAACTACTAATTCAAACTTTCCTTTTTCTGTGGCATGGGGTTGTGTTTTTTTTTTGTNTTTCTATATAGAAGCACCTTAATTTATAAGTGTTTACATTTAAAGGACTTTTTAACGATCAAATTTTTAAATTTCTGATTAGAATAATATGACTGTCGGGTTTTTGATTAGCGTGTCCTAGTTTTTAGTTTAGTTTCAAATGCTTTTACTAACTACTAATTCAAACTTTCCTTTTTCTGTGGCATGGGGTTGTGTTTTTTTTTTTGTTAATATATATGTTGCTATGACTGCTGTTTTAGTTTAAAAATAAATTTTAAGTGTTTATTTCTAACATTGAAAAAAATTGACATTATTGACATTTGGATCATGCCGAAAACAGAAATAAGTAGTTTTACGGTTTTTATTTTTTTTTGGGATCATAAACACTTGAAATTTATAAAAATCAACTACCCGCCTATAAAAAAATAAGAGCGTATATTTTTTTTAAAATTAAGATCGTCTGAAGAGTCCTTGACAAAATCGATTTTCAGACTCGAACGTCTAGTGACGCAACTGCGTTCGAAGTTCAACGGTCTTCAGCAAACGAACGGTCCGGATTCGTTGCCGAGCGAACCCGAACACGAGCCGAACGCTCGCACGAGGCGAACGAGCCTCAACTCGACCGTTGTGTTCGGACCGGTGACCGACTTGTAGCGAACGATCGGACCGACGTTGTGCGTTCTAGCGCACGACCTCATCTGGTCGATACTGTATAAAAGGGGTGGCCAACTTGATTAGAACTTGACAAGACCTACTAACGATACACACTGCGATCTACCAATGACCTATCTTGAAATTTAATGAAACAATGTAGTTCAGTATACAAATAAGTAGCATATTTTATTTTATTAAAAAAATATTAAAATAAACCTGAAATTATATAATAAAAGAAAACTATTGTGTGGAAGAGAGGATGAATAATGTGACGTAATGGTCATTAACAAATGATAGAAGATGAAGATGATGAGCGCAGTAGTGTCGGTGATTACGTTGCGCAGTCTGTTCTATGTATTTACATTTTTCGGTCTTGCCACGATCGACCGGTTGATCGCGATCTATCGGTTGGCCACCCCTGCGGTATAACGTTAATGAAAGACTGTAATTTTGGACAATACTCCGAAAAGTGGTCGCCTTTCGACTTGCATATCGAACTCGGCGGCTTAGTTAACGATCAAGTTGATTTAGTGATAGTAAACGAGGCTCGTGACGAACAATGCGATCTCTTTTATATTCGGCTCTAAATTGTAATAAACGATACCACGTTATATCTATTATTATTTAAAAAAAAACTATATTAACAATTATTATATGTCGCACTTTTAGAAGTAAAGTGGCTTAACTAAAAATTTTAAGAAAATTAGTTTTATACTTTGAGCGACTCATAAACGCGTATCTAGAAAAGGACAAACGTACTCTTTCCGTCTTTTTTAAATTAAGCGCATACCTTAAAGTTTTCAAATCGAAAAAATAAAAAATAACGATTCGTCATTTATATTTTTTGCGTTTGCCAAAAAAACAAGAATTTTGGATTAATCCACTTCAATTTTAAAGGTGTAATGTAAAGGTAGAAACTTTTATAAAAAACTGTAGAAAATAAACATGTATAGAACCAAAAATCATACTATAAATCAGGTACATAGGTTTTGATGTACTTTTTAAATGACAGTTTTTTTTTTTGTTGAAGTCGTTACGCCTCGCCAATTTTTTCTGAAGTCGAAGAATAATGTAACATGTTAGAGATAGTCCAGCTTTAAATCGCTCGAAACATAATCTTTTACGGAAACTACTATTTCACTTCATTTTGATAATTTATCCATTAAAAATTATAATTATGATCCGATTTTAAAGTCAAACATTCACTATGCAAGTGATAAAGAAACCATCTTAATTTTTTAACTAGTGAACGCATGAGAAGCTATTAATAATTTAATCAGGTTCAAATAACAAATTTTGACTTTTGTATTTACGTCAAAGTTTACGTCAAAAATTAAATGATATTAATTATTAATCTTAACACTGTTTATTGTTAATCGTATTAATGAAAAACCAAAATTATATTATATATGCATATAACTATGCATGTTATTTTAAATGCATGTATGTAAATACGTACAAAATTTTATAGAATGACACAATTGAATTTCAGTAAAAATGTTTGTATAGAATTAGGTTATCACACTTCACTATGTACATTTAAGAATTAGGAATTGAATAAGTACATAAAAGTGTTGATTAAAAAATATAGTTAAGTAAAATTAATAAAGTAATCAGTAAAACACAGTAGAAATAACGTTTAGAACAATTAAAGTGAAGCATTTGAAAATTCATCAAAAATTATGTAAGTAAAAAAAAAATTACTATACTTTTTCACACGAATTTTTTCAACACCTAGTTCAGACTATTTCCTTTATCGTAATAAGAATTTCAGAATCACAGAATAACTAAAATCTTATAGCAAATAAGTTTTTTTTTTTGTTAAATTAACATTGTACTTATTATGTGTGCTCATGACGTAACGTGTGTGATTTTTTTGTCTCAAAACTTTATTTTAACAAATACGTTCTTAATAATAAATAATTTAGGTGCTAGTTTTAGGTATTGTTATTTTATCATACCATTGAAGGGTACTTGGAAAAAAGTATTATATTACTTTCTCTGTTCCTCTTGATAAATAATCTGCTCGTTAGACAAGGATAGGTATAGTGTAACTGTTCTGTTTTCGTTGATTATAAATTTAAACGTTATCAAAATTTTGTTTTAACCACAAAGAAAAGGTTACTCGAGAAAAAATGGCGTCACAAATTCAGCTGGCTAGATTTTAAATGTCGGTGGCGCAGTAGTGAGCGCCTCTGATATCTGGACCGAGAGTTGTAGGTTCGATTCTCACATTGGGACAACATTTGTCAGTTTCTGAATTTTTAATATTTATTCATCTATATATGAAAACGTGGTATACGTTTTAATAAGTATTAGTTTCTGGCAACCGTGGTAGAGGGAATCGCTAATTTGAGGACGGATTACCGTCTTTTATTAGTTCCCAATAAACTTTAATACTTATATATCTCAATTACGTATATTCAAGCATTTCAATCTCATTTTACTTACCAGAGAAATAAAGTTTTTTTTTTTTTCAAAAATGTCATGTATCTTGAAGAACATCATTATATCATAACAAACTCGGTGATTTAAATAGAATGATGGCACGGCAAACGGAATAAAACGTGTTTAATGTTTTCGTCGGAAAATATTTACAGGTAAAACACTAAATAATAATTTTGGGCAATTGTTGATGTTAGCAATTTTCGTCCAATTGGCTTTTCACACTTTAGGATCAAGGTCGTGGATTTTATTTAAACGTATCGATGTGGCGATGTGGCAGATTCTATTGTCAAACGTATTGCTTTGAGAAACTGGTATTTTAGTATATTACAAGCGGCACGCTCCGGTTCCGCTTGGGTCTTTAACAAAAATTTCAACGACATATGACGTTGTTTTATTTTTTTAAATTAAGGAACACTTATTGTGGCATAACTATAACGGTTAGAAATATGCTGTCGTGACACTTTTTGTAAATAATAATGTGTTCTACAAAGTCGTACTACTGTTATTTTATTCTATCATCAATAGTTTTGGCAGGGCACGGCGATGTAAAGAATATTTTAGGTAACTTTTTTACATCTTGGGTTACATTATTAGAGGTTTAGTAAGGATCCCTAATTTTTTTCAAAAAATATTATAGCCTATATCGCTCAGGAATAGTGTAGCTTCCAAACAGTGAAATAATTTTTCAAATCGGTTTAGTAGTTTCGTAGCCTATTCAATACAAACAAACAAACAAAAGTTTCCTCTTTATAATATTAGTATAGATTAATTCATCCAACAAATGATTATTTTATTTTGAAATTCCATCGTTGTGTTATACTTTTAACTTTGAATATAACCTGTAAGCCTGTATTTTCAATAATGCCTATTTTATGTCCGTAACCCATTCGAAGATTAGTAATCTCAAATTAGGTATTTTATTTAAATTAATCTTACGGTTAGGTACGTCATATTGTGAACAAATTGAAGTGAGGTAAATGTCGATTTAGAATTAAACAAAACAATAATAATAATTTATGTTTTGCAACTTCAATTTCAACTTTAGACTTGGTCAAACTTAATTATCCATTACGCCTAGCAAACCTGCTTCAGTACGTATAGAGGTATTACGAGTAAGTAATGATTTTTCTATACATAAATTATATGTAGAGATTAATCGATGTGTTACAGTTAAAACATATTTTGACTTATAAAAGCTAGTTTTTTTAATTCATTCAGTGCAGTTAACCTTTTTTTTTTGTAAATAATTTTAACTATGAATAAGGCTTCGATAAGAAGAAAGACATCTGAAATAGCGATTTTATCTAAATATTACAATTCCATTCGGGAGAAAGTATTTTTATTTAAAAAGCTACATATTGTTATTTATTTAATCATTCTGTAATTTCAAATCAACGATTGATCGACATTGATACTTTATTTATAAAAAAATAATTATAATTAAGCATAATTTTAAATCATAATATTGTGTTGTAATTTTTTTATTATTATTCTAACAATTTTTGAGTTCGTAAAATTAATGATTTTAAGTAATTTGTGTGATTTTAAGCTTAGAATTTCGTCATAGTTTTTGTGCGATAAAGATACAATATCCTACGTGTTATGTTATACGTTATATGTGTATACAAAGTGGTAAATGAGAACGGTACTTTTTGTCTATCATCCGTCCTTTTCACACGAATCACTGAATCGATAAGCGTGAGAAGAGCGGAAGCGTGCTCAAATTTGTTTTGTGTCCGGATATTTTAGTGGTATATACGAATATACGAAGTTATTTTCAATAACATTTGCGAATAAAAAAAAAAAACGAACGATTTTATTAATAATGAGTGATTATTATTTTTTAATGTTTTATTTTTTATTAACATGTGATTTTAGTCTGTGTTTTTTTGTTG